TTCAATTATTTAGTTAAATCATTAATGTAATGATTATAATTAATTAGATAAATTATTATTTTAATGATTTGATCATGATGATTCAATTGGTCTTTAAAGTAAATAAAACCACTATATGTGTTTATATTACATTGCTTCCATGATTTAAAAGCGGTAAAGTTAGCAAAATAAAGAACTAGATTGTTAACATTGCCAGCTAGGTGTTGTACTTATAGCATTAGTGTTTTCTGCAATCAAAAAGTATGTTTTCTGCAAAACTTTGTACTTCTTTAGAACTACTTCTTTAGAAGTACTATTTTTAAAGGTAATTCTTAAGAGCTAGGTTATGCTGTTTAACATTTTTCAATTTTTCTGGAAATACATGTCCGCTAATGTTTATGTGTATGAAAAAGTAGACATCTTTGATCCTAAAGTCTATAGGTAAAACCTTTTGCAAAAAAAGAAAATATTACTTATTGTAAAAAAAGAAAAGAAAATTATTTGGAAAAGTAAGAAAATCTGTTGATGCCTTTTATTCATCTAAAATAAGAAGTGTCAAGGGATTTAAGTTATTTAGGTATTCAAGAATAGGTTGTTAAAAAAAGCAATACAGTAATCCAAACAAAATATTAAGAAAGTGATTAAGTTTTAAACTATAGATTGGTGTACAGGGTTTAGTGCTTTGAAAGGTTTAGTCTTAACTTACTATCAAAGTTATAAAGAGACACAAAAAGAAAGTACTCTAATATTTTCTGTTGGAATGTTGGAATGAATCCAAAACAGTTGTTATATAATCTAAAGTTATGAAAAAGCAAACAGAAACCACTAAAAAACGGCTAAGTAGAATGTGCGGGTAAGGAGTTAGATGAACTTTTAAAAGCTTTCCTGCATAATTTTTTTTTCCAGCCTATAAGCAATTGGTTCAAAATTAGTAGGCGACTAGAAAATTTAAGAGAGGAAGGGATTATGGTATATAAGTACATACAAAAGAGAAGGGAGGGTCCGATGTCAGTAACTTTACTGCATACATAATTTATAATAATAATAATAATTAATGCTGTTGAGATAAGGCGCCAGGCAATATCTATGACAGCCGGTATAAATTAATTAAGGAACAAGTTAGTTCAGTCACTAAATAATAAAAACATTAATAATAAGCTTTCTTAGTTTTTATCTTGTTTGTTATTGCTTCTATTCACTTCTGCTACACTTCTGTTATTCAATTCTGCTACAGCTTGGGGCTCACAGTGGCTGGTGAACTTTAATTCAGATAAAACTCAATTTTATTCGGCCAATCGTTATCGTAATAATTTAGATCTTCCTATATTTATGAATGGTAATGTACTAGATGGGTCATCTACCATTCATCTTCTAGGATTAACTCTTACTTCTGATCTTTCTTTTAAACCGTATATCAAATCCATTGCAAAATTAGCATCTGCTAAGGTTGCATCTCTTTATCGAGTTCGACACTTTCTTACTCCAGATTCTATTCTCTATCTCTATTAATCTCAAATCCGTCCCTGTATGGAATACAGTTGCCACATCTGGGGCGGATCTTCTAATGATGCTGTTTCTCTTTTAGACAAGGTGCAAAAACGAATTGTAAACATAGTTGGACCTGCTCTGGCAGCCAATCGAAAACTCTTATTCTTCTAGTTTTTTTCCTCGAACATCAGTTCTTTGGAATTCGCTTCCTTCATCTTGCTTTCCTGATACATATAATTTGCAATCTTTTAAGTCATCAGTCAATCGTTATCTTGCTCTACAGATTTAGTCTTTTCTCTTCCAGTAACTTCCAACTCTTATAGTGGTTGCTTGCAGCCTTGTTGGAAGTGAAGATGTTAAAAAAAAAAAAAAAAAAAAAAAAGTCGATCGATTGCAAGTTTAATTTTAAGCTTTTAACTGTAGTAGATTGAACAACTTCGGCTGGTAGACTATTCCATCTATCAACAACTCTATTGCTGAAAAAATATTGCCTTTTCAAACAATTTCTGACCAATTCAGGTTTCATTCGTTGTTTTGCTCCTCTAATGTTAGCTGCAGGACCTGATGAGCAAATAGAGTTCATTGTTTGATTTTCTTTAATATCGATGATTTCATTATCTTTAAATATTTTGAATTGCTGGATCAAGTCGCACCTTAGCCTTCTAGTCTCCAAAGTAGTCAAACCCAAAATTTCCAATCTTTTTTTGTACTCAAGATGTCTTAGCTCCGGTATCATTTTGGTAGCTCTTCGTTGGACTTTTTTTAGTTCATTAATATCTTTTGTATAATACGGACTCTATGCTTAAATTGAAAACTCTAAATTTGGTCTAACATATGTACAATACAGAGTTTTATTAGATCTTTATCCTTGAACTTGATGTATTATTTAGTAGTGAGAGCATGCTATTTGCTTTACTAGCTGCATATTTTACTTGTTTGGCCAATTTTAAATCACTTGATATATAAAAACCAATGTCTTTTTCTAGTTTTGACTTTTCATTTTCCATTAATGTATTGTTATTGTTCATAAAGTATGAATATTCGTTATTATTTGAACCAAGGTGCATAATTTTACATTTTTCAAAATTTAATCCTAATTTTCATTTTGTTGACTATTCGCCAAGTTTATTTATTTCATTTTGAAACAATTGCGGATCATTTTGAGAAGAAATAGGCGCAATTATCTTATTATCATCAGCATATAAACGACATTCATAAATAAAAATTTTTGGTAAATCATTTATAAATACCAAAAAAAGGAGAGGACCTAGAACAGACCCTGGTGGTACACCACTAATTACATCAACCCAATCTGTCACACTTTCACCTAAAACCACTCTTTGTTTTCTGTTAGCTAAAAAACAGACTATTCACGTAAGAAGTTTACAAGACATACCAAAAGTCAATAACTTGGATAATAATATTTTTTATGTGAAACACTATCAAAAGTTTTTTTAAAATCTGTGTACAATACAGAAATACGGTGTTCTATTGTGGAACGCATATGTTAAAATATCTAGGTATTCTAATAGGTTTGTTGTACAGCTCTTGCTTTTCATAAAACCTTTTTTTTTTTTTTTTGAAAGTAAATTATTTTGTATGAGATGTTGCATGATACAATTAGCTATTATTCTTTCTAACACTTTACATGGTATTGAAGTTAACGAGACTAGTCTGTAGTTAGATGCTTTTAATTTGCTTCCTTTTTTAAAAAGTGGCATTACATTTGCCTTCTTCCACATGTCTGGTAGGGTACCTGTTTCCATCGATTTTTTGAAAATTAAATATAATGGGTATGATATTGACAAGCTACATTCTTTTAAAACAAATCGATAAACAAAATCAAAACCGACTGATTTTGACTAATCATGTGCTTGAAGACTAGTTTGAACATCATTTTGTGTTATTATAACTGTGTTTAATAATAAATTTGAATGTATATTATGAAACTCAATAATACTTGTACAATTATCATTAACATACACAGAATGAAAATGTTTATTTAGTTCAGTAGCTATAGCGAATTGATCAGTTATGATTTCCTCATTATTAATTTCAAGAGCTCGAATTTGAGTTTTCACTGATTTTTTCTTTTTGATATATTTATAATGCAATTTAGGATTTGATTTAAACTTGCTAGCTAAAGTACTTTCTAATTGTTTTATATTGTTCTTAATATCATTCTTTTTTCCAATTTTTAGCTTATTATACTGAATATTTGTTGATTCCTCATTGCAGCCATTACGTTTATTAGCAAGCCATATATTGTTTTTAGTTTTTATTTTATGTTTCAATTCAGGAGTAATCCATTTTTTTCTGTTTCTTCTATTTTGATAAAATAATTTTTGGGATAAACAAATTAGTTGCATAATTGTAATGATACAAAAATAAATCATACATTTCATTTATAGATTTACTTTTAAATACGTTTTCCCAATCTACATTATTGAAATGGAAAGAAAATAGTTCATAATTTCCTATTTGATATAATGTAATGGATTTTTTATAATCATACATTAGATAACAACACTTTAACAAATGATGACCCTGTTTGACATTCCCTAAAGAAGCTGAGTGAGTTATAGAAACAATTTTTTTTTTTTTTATCGTTTGTGATAATAAGGTCTAGAATATTAGTTGATTTGTAGTTTGCTATTTGGAATGTTGGCTCACATACACATTGAAACAAAAAACAATCTTTAAGACATTCAATAAATTTATTAGTTTGAGATTCATTATCAGTTGCTGAAAAAAGGACAATTAATATCAGACCAATCTATTGTATTATAGTTAAAGTCACCTGTAATAATAAGATCGCTGTATTCTATTTGATAAATACTCATTTTAGCAGCATTAATAGGTAGCAAAACAAAGTTATTATACTCTTGCTTAACTGTAAATTATTTGTTTCAATCTGATTAATTGATTGTTTTACATAAATACAAACACCTCATCCATGAGTCTTTCTATCGCTTCTAAAAATATTATAAGTAACTATATTTACATCTGATTCTGCTTTAAATCAAGTTTCTGTAACACAAATAACATCTGGTTTTATATATTTCACATTGTAACCTTAACTCATCAATCTTATTATTCAGAGACGTTGCATTTGTATACCAAATCATCAGTTCATTGCATTTTTGAGTATCGTGCTCCTTTTTTATACTTAAATCATATTTCTTACGCTCATGAAAGTTTACTATTTCAATACCTAGCTGTCTCTTATTGCTCAGCAACTTGTTAAGATTTTGACCTCCGCCACTAAACAGATTTTTTTTATTGTTAGTTTCATAGTTAAAGCGTCGTATGTGGTTTAAGTCTTTTTTGGCATTTAGTTGCTATTTTTTTATTTTTACAACTTCGCCATTTCTAATACCAAAGTAAAAGTTTGCCGTGTTAATATTGTCATTATTTAGTTTTTTACACTCTTCTCTTAATAGCTTTGATTTGTACCGTTCAGATTCAGTCAAATCCGGATTTATAATTACACTTTCGTATGTTTTATCTTTCTTCAATTCCTTAGCATTTTTTAAAACAGAATTACGTTCCAATTTATCATCTAAAACAAAAATATATGGAGCTTTAAATTCATTTTTTGACTTTATTTTGATAACCTTTTTTATTTTGACATTGACCTTCAACTTTTTCATGACTGTTTTAATATTTTGTTTATTTTCTTCAATAGCTTTGATTTTATCACTTAATGTTGATTCCTCTAAACCGAAAATAACCAAGTTATTTTCTCTTTTATCTCTTTCTAAGGTTTCATTTGCGATAGTATTAATAATTTGCATTTGATCTGGAGTTTTTTTTACTTTACTAGCCCAATCACATGTCACTGCTGAACTAGATTTTGATCTAGAATTTTCTAAATCCAGAACTCTCTTAGTCAAGTTTGCATTATCTGTTCTTAATGTTTCGAATAACTTTTTTAAATCTACGATTATTGCTTCTTGCTTACATTTGTAAGTATTGAAATCACCTAGTTGCAAGTTAACCATTTGGATTACTGGATAGGAGGGCTACCACCCTAAATAACAGTGGATTACCTCCTGTCAGTGAAATTTTAATGTTATTATCATTAGTTTTGCTTATTACACAGGGACTTATTGCATAGGCATGAATGAATACATCATAGTTATTTTGAATACTTATATGAACACTCCCAAGTTATTTTGAATACTTATATGAACACTCGCAAGTTATTTTGAATTGTGTATATAATGCCAGAATATATTATTGTATTGCATTTTTTTATTATTAAGATTGATTGCATATTAGTTGTTAGAGCAATTTGGTAAAACATATAGTTGACAAAATGTTGAAAAATGTTAGGAAACACTAGAAATTATAATGACATTTTTTTTTTTTATGCTTATCTAAAGGTCTTTGATTTTTATCATTGTGGTTTTACTTTATGTATAGTTTAAACTCTAAGTCTGACAGTATTTGCAGTTCGTGTGAAATATAATAAATGCATTTTGAATTTGAATAAAGCGAAACTTAATATATGTATTGCAGCATTTATTTAATTTGAATTTATATCAAAAGTTGCATTCACTTCCTGTCATGTTTGAGTGTTAGTGTTTTTTGCGTGAACTTCCATTTTTATAATTGATTAAGTCAGTTATTAAGTATTAATTAATCATTAAATTTCACTCAGCTGTCTCTAATTTAAATTGTTCAAAGATTTTAAAGAAAATTAAATAAATATTGATCAAACTGAAGCTTTTATATTTTAAACTGAAAAAATGTTAAAAAAAAAAAGTTATCTAAAGTTGCTTTTACTAATCTACGGCAATTACTACTATATTTACATACTATAAAAGTTAATAAAATATTATTGAAATATCTTTAACAAATGTTTTTGATATTAAATTTGTACTTGTTTTATGTTTTTATATTAATAATAATATTGTTATTATTAAAAAAATGGTGGTTTATAAATTTTAATTTTGGTTAATTTTGGGTATTTGTAACAAGTAACTTCAGTGTAAAACATGCAAAAATTGCAAGAAAAAACTCAGGTGGTGATATAGCTTAAAAACTTTTTTATTGCTTTTTTTAGCCCTTGAATATAATGGACACTATTCTGAAGAGCTGCTGTATTATCTAACACTACACAAAATACATTTGTACACAACTCTTTTGAAGTTGTTTGCTGCTTGTGTGTAACCATTTGACAAATTTTTATGGCAAAATTTAAACATCGATAGTTTTCTTAAACAACATTTTTTTTTTTTAAAAACAACAATATAAAATAAAAATTAAAAAATTGAAAAAAATTTCCACTTACGAATAAATGTATTGAAATGAGCTCTGTGCTTGTCTGAGTTTAATATGTTTATTTCTTTGAACTCTTAAAACAACTAAAAGTATGACAGAAACAACCAACAAAGGGACCAAAGTTGCAGCAGCAATAACAGATGCTGTTTCTAAACATTGAAAAAATTATGGTTCAAATATAATTGAAAAATCATAACAAAAATAACTTTGTAGTATATTCAAAAACTTAAAACAGTCTATCTATAAATATCTTCTGTTAATTTATAAATTACCCTAGTCAACTTTTAAACTTACAAAAGTATTAAACCAATCAAATAAATTAGGTAAAAACAAAAAATTATTATTACACAAAATGTGCCATTTAGTGTAAAAATAAACTACAAAGTTTTATTTTTTCAATGAACTTTTTAAATGCTTATATTTAGATATAAACTAGGTACTACATATTTGTAATATCTAATTTATATAAAATATAAGCAATCAAAAATGATAAGTGATACGACTTTTAAAATATTGCAAAGACCATTTAATCAATTTTAATATTTTTTCTATTTTAAAGTTAATTTATTTTTAATTACAGTAATACATTCAGAAAACAACAGCTTCTAGTAGTGTTGAATCGCTGCATCCATGAATTTAATTTAAAAAAATATTTTTATAGTTTTCTTTTAACCTCAATTTCTCTTGATAAAAGTTTTCTTTATATATATATCAATTATATCTCAATAAAAATTCTCATCTTAGACAGATATTAAATGCATTCGGCTACTGTCTTAAAAAAGGTCTCCTAGGCACTTATACAAGAATTCGGGAGTAAACAGGTTTTATCTGTTGACCATCCTCGCATCCCTTTTTTATTTAATTATGCTAACGCAGATATTTTTAATACATTGTTTCCAGTTTAGAATGTTGAATGCTGGATCTTCATTACTCAATGCATGAATTTTGCTTGTGTCTCTGTTTTTATGACTAGATAACTCATTCTTCTATCTTCTTATAAAAGTACAGCTCTAAAACTCAAACTGAGTTTTAGAGCTGTACCTTTATAAGAAGATCAATGGTTAGAAGGCTGGCTGGTAGTCAGGTTTCCCCAAATCTTTGGTACCTTTTAGAGAAGCTGATTCCATTAACAGCTATTAACTATCAATGTATTAACAGTTCCATGTTACACACGGATGGTGTCCCTGTTTTTACATTTGGTATGCATTGCCAAGGCCACATATGGAGCCCTTTGTTACGGCTTAGGTTTTAGTAATAGTAATAAGGAAATTGCTTGGGCTAATAAACGGTGTACAGAGTAATACATAAGTTTTAAGTCAATTTCCTTAACAAAGTTAAATATGAATTCAGTACCAAAACACATAAAACCAGTATTATCACCAAGTTCTCTAAACCTTTAAATCATTCACTAATGTTTGTGGTCTTCGAAGTAACTTTTCTTTTGTTGAATCTTCTCTCTTGATAACTTTCACCAGAAGTTTTGTTCACCAGACCTATTAGCTCTTTGTGAGACTAATTTGAGTTTAGCTGTCTTATCTTATGGTCTCTATGTTGATCGTTATCTTCCTTTAATTCGTAAACACTCCAGTATTCACATTTTCGGTCAGAGCATTAACATTCGTAAGAATTCTCCCATTTGTTGTAAAACTAGGTTTGAATCCACTGATTGTTCTTTAATATGCTATGGTTAAGCACCACTTCAGTCTATCGCTTTTCTCTTTGTTCTATATCGCTCTCCTTTATCTTAAGACTGTACTCTTCATGATGCTATTTCTGATCAAATTGACCATGCCCTCTCTCTTTATCCTTCAGCTAATATTGTATGCTTATCACACTGAATGAGTTGGCTCTAGTGCTTGTAAATCTGAAAGCATTAAAGCCCACAACTTTTGCCGTTTTCAATCCCTAAATCAAATAGTCAATTTTCCAACTCGCTTTCCAGACAACCGAATTATCTACCTTCTCTACTCGACTTATGTTTTGTTTCTGATCCTAGTCAGTGCTCAGTTTTTCCATGTTCACCCCTAGGTGCATCTGGTAACATTATTATTTTTCTAAAACTATCATCTCATTCTTCCTCATCAATTCCTAAATCCCCCCATCATCGTACCTCTTACAACTACCTTAAAGCTGACTGCGACTCTTTCTGTGATTTTCTTCGTGACGGCCTTGGGTAGCAAAATTCGCTTTCATATTTACAAATGCGCTTCTTTCATAACTTCGTGGATTCAGGCTGGCATGGAATCTTTTATTCCCTCTTTACAACTCCAGGTCAAGTCTCACTTATCTCTATGGTTTTTTCCATTTTGTGCTACTTAACTTTCTAATTAATATTGTTATTTTCATATCTTCAGCAAAACAATTCTTTAGAAAACCGACGTTTGTTTATTACTGCTAGGAACCATTGTAAATAGGTTTTGTCTAACGCCAAAGCCCACTATTCTCAGATCATGAAATGTCGTATTTCATCACCAAAATTAGGCTCTCGTGACTTCTGGAGAATTTTTAATAGTATCAATAATAAGGGCAAATCTGTAATTCAACCTCTCTTTGTATGGTTCAGATTTGTCACCTTACCTAATGACAAAGCTGGGTTGTTTGCCAAGAACTTTTTTTCAATATCATCTTTAGATTCCACTAGTTGCGTTCTACCTAATATAACCGTCAAACAGGTTATTCCAACACTTGGCAGTCGTATCACTCCAATTTCTTTATCAAAGTGATTTCCAGCTCAGACTCTTCTACAGCTTGTGGTCCAGACAACATAGCTGTTGTAGTCTTGCAGAAGCGTTCTCCGGAGCTGTCGTCTACACTTTCAGAACTATTCAACAAGACCCTGTCAGAGTCTTGTTTTCCAGCCTGCTGGAAAGAAGCATCTTTTATCGCTATTTTCAAAAACTCTGGAGAGTAATCTGATTTATCTAACTACCGTCCCATTAGTCCTCTTCCTATCATAAGCAAGTTTTTTGAATCTTTAATTAACAATCACTTAATGTCTCATCTTGAATCTAATAACTTACTGATCATTAAAATAGATTTCGATCTTCTCGTTTTACAGCTGATTTGCTAACAGTAATAATAGATAGGTTTTATCGTGCATTAGATAAAGGTGGAAAAATTAAGGTCATTGCTCCTGACATTTTTAAAGCCTTTGATAAAGTTTTTCATGCTGGTCCTCTTTAAGAGCTTTCTTCTTACGGTGTATCTGGTAATATCTTTTATATTATTTAATTTTTTCTTTCAAATCGTAGTATAAAAGTTGTCATTGATGGACAGCACTCTTCTGTTTATTTTGAAACATCAGGGCTTACTCAAGGTTCGATCCTTACCCCTATTATCTTTTTAATTTACATTGACGATCTTGCAGATATTCTCCAACATGGCATTGTTCGCTCATGATACTACTATTTATTCTTGTCTTGATAAAAAGCCAACTCTTTCTGATTGATTTGAGAGGGCATTTGAGATTGTAAAGGGTGTCACTTCTGCTACAGCATTGGGCTCACAGTGTCTGTTGAACTTTTAGTCAGATAAAACTAAATTTATTTCAGTCAATAGTTGTCTCAGTAATTTAGACCTTCCTATATTTATGGGCGGTAATGTACTCGATGAGTCATCTTCCCTTTATGTTTTAGGAATAACTAACGATCATGCTTTAAAACCATATATCAAATTATTCGCAAAATTTGCATCTGCTAAGGTTGCATCTATTTATTGATCTAGACAGTTTCTTACTCCAGATTCTCTATATATCATTATAAACCTTAAATCCGTGCTTGTATGGAATGTTTTTGCCATATCTGGGGCGGTTCTTCCAATGATGCCCTTTCTTTTTTAGATAAAGTGCAAAAACTCATTTTAAACAAAGTTAGACTTGCTCTTGCATCTTACCTCCAAACATTATCACATCGTTCTAATGTTGCTTTTCTTTCTCTTTTCTTCAAATACTTTAATGGGCACTGCTTTAAAGATTGAGTTGTGGCATCTACTAAAATTCATTCGTGTGTTACTTGTCATTCAATTAAATCTCATCTTTCTTTTCTGACTGTTCCTAATTGTGCCAAAAATTCTTAATTTTTTGTTTCTTTTCTTTAAATATCAGTTCTTTAGAATTCGTTTCCTTCATTTGCTTTCCTGGTTTATAAAGTATATAAGTCGTCTATCGTCTATTGTTATCATGCTCCACAATCTTCATCTTTTCTTTTTTAGTATCTTCCAACTCTAATTAGTGGTTGATTTTAGCCTTGTTGGAAAAAAATTTGCTTTATCTTGAGCTAGAGATATCTGGGTAATAAGCTAATTTCTACAATAAACATTTATTTTGCTGATGCCAAAAAATTTTTTTTTTTTTGGCATCAGTTATCAAAGTGAATATTTTTAAGAAAACTGAGCTATGCAGAAAACGCCTATGTAATTTGTTTCACTTAAAATAATTCAGATGATACTTAACTTTCTATTTTAAAAAAAGCACTCTTAAACTTCAAACTTAACTTTCGAAGCAACGCCCATAGCAACCAATTTAGATTAAATGAAAGCCTCGAAAAATATGTGTAAAAACCCATGGTTGGGTTGCTTTAAAGTCATTAAATTGTTTTACAGAAATATAAACTTAATGCATAAAGTCACCAGTTTAATACATGTGTTACATGACATTTAAATTGCTTAAAATTTGAAAAGCTGCAAGTGAAATTATATTTGTTTACGTTTTTAAGCATCGTTTATTTGATTTAGTTACATGGTTTTTTATATATATATTTTTTGAGCTTTGTTATAGTTAACTTAATTGGTTTTTTATTTGTTATAATGTTCATTATTAAAGAAAGGCAACAATGAAAAATATTTAAGCTTAGTAACACTTTTTTGTTATTATTCATTTTTTATTCTTTATAGTTTTAATAATAATAAATATTAAAAAAGAGTCAAGCTATGTTAAAAAGAAAATCTGGCCACTCAAAAGTATTTTCTAAACGGATATTCAAAGGTAACCAACACACACACAAAAACACAAGAAGAACCAGCTGAGATTCCTCCTTCTAACCCACCTATTTCTTAAAATAAATCTGTCATATGCATCATGAGGCACATCATTACTTTCTAAAATCACTAATGAAGCCAGGTCAATAAACTTTGCATCATCTTCATTCACCAATGACACCAGTTTGTTTCCTTATGTAAATTCTTCAAATCCAACTGTATATTATGGATTTTTTATACTTTTTTCTATTAACATTATTATGGAAATTATTAATTTAGTTGCAACACGCCCTGAATGTGACAAAAAGACTATGATTCAAACATTTAACGTCTTGAGAAAGCAAGGCTTGTCTATACCATTATTGTTACAATGTTCAAGTTGTTGTTAGTGTGCAACTTTTCATTCAAGTAAAGAATGTAAATGCAAAAGCAGTCGTGGTGACCTGTTTGAGGTTTATGTACGTTTTGTTATTGCTATGAGGAAAATTAGAAAAAGTTATAACAGTTTAGTGGACGAAAAAAGTATTTGGAACAGTGCTTTTCTATTGCTCTTAGGCAAAATATATTATAAGAATATAGATGGTATCAAATGTGCCCACGTACTCCTGATAATTGCTGTAAATATCAGGCTGACAAAATAAATGAAATTGCAACATACAAACATTAGGGAAGAATTACCAATTGTTGTCCTTGAAAAAATAAAACCTGTTTGTTTTAGGTTTAAGTGATGACAATTTATAAAAAAAATATCTTTATGGCAAAACTCAAAATAACTAATAAATAAATGAGTCACTAAATGGAATGATAAGGAAAGGGTTTCAAAAAGATATATTTGTTTGTAAAACCACTGATGAGCTAGGTGTAGCTTCTGCAGTTTTAAATTTTAATGATAGTTCAAATGGAACTCTAAAGGTTTTAAAGGGCATAGGTATTCCAGGATTTTATGCAAATCAGTTCTGTTTTTCAAATAACAACCTAAGTCAATGGAAAGGAAATCGAAAAAAGTATAATCAAAGAGTTCATAAAAGGTTTCATAAATACTAATCAATTAGAAGAAATGAACTATGGTTATGGTTTATATTAGAGATTTTTTATTATTTTTCATTTACGGTGATCAATCATAAAAATTTTTTATTTTTTTTGAATCTTTAAAAGAAATTTAGTGATTTTTTAGTATATTATTACTTAAATTCCATTTATCTCAAAATTAAATTTTTTGAACGGTGCGTCATATAACTTTTGATTGATTTGAGCTTTACTATTGAAATTTTATATGGTAGTTATTTTTTATAAGATACAGGTTTAGAACCAACATTTTTTGAAAAATTTTTTTTCGGTCCAGAGTGACCCAAGCCCAAAGTTTTATTTTTAAGCCTTTTTATAAGCAAGGTATTTAAATTTTATTTACCTTAGATCAAGTTATGCACTCAGGCTAATTCTACCCCCATACCTGTAAAATTATACTATAAACAAACTGTAAAAATTTTGTTAACATTCTACAATTGATTTTTTATGAATTTGACGCACCGCAAAGTGACCATTTTGAGACCTTTGGACCCAAAAAAGGGTTTTCTGTAAATTTTTTTCTTTTTTTTTTAAAAAAAGGCATAGTTACCTGTGTATAATTGTTGTACCAAAATATCAAATTTAAATAGTAAGAAATAAAGAATTTGGATTTTTCACCCAAGTACCACCTTAAAATTGCCAACGAAAACATTTGGTAACAAAATGATATGTCCGAACGCATAATTCAGTCAATAAATACTAATTTTAAACTATTAAGGATATCAGTTTCTCAACCTATCAAAGTCTAAAAGTAAAAGTTAGATTGTTTGCATATAGGTGTATCTTGTATAATAAATGTAACGATGAAGTCAACTCAATATTAGCACTTTAAAATTCCTAAAAATTATTTTTCAAACTTATTATCTTGTCTTTTAACATGCGTTTGTGGTTTATCATGTTCTAAATAAAGTAACAAAGCAATTTAAAAAAACGTTTAACAATGCAAAAATGACAAGTAATAACTGCCATCTAATCAAAGTTCCAAATTTAACTTAAATTTTTTTTATTCTATTTTTTATCCAAGTCTTTAATTTTTTATTATCCTTAATAATCCAAGCTTTTTTATATTCTATTTGGAACTTTTAGACTTTATTATTATTATGCGATTATACCAATTGATTTAATTTTTATTATTATTTAATAACATGATTTAAAATAATAACAAAGATGCAACAATTTTTAATTACTTTATCCTGCATACTCATTTGGCAATAAATTATTTAAACAATTAAAAATACATATGTTTGGACAGATGTTTCAATAAAACTATTTTAAATTGTTTTGAATTTTATTGAAAATATTTGTTATACCTTATTTTTTAGTATCTACAAAATAATCAATTTTGCAAATCTCAAATGGTAGAATTGATAATTTTATTATTTGAGAGTTAACAAATAATAATATCAAAAAAATTAATAATAATGATAATAAATACAACGATATAAAATATTTAAAAGAATACACGATGATCTCGGTAATTACATTACCTTAAAAATATGTTTGTTAGACCAAAAGATATTTTAAGTCAAAATAAAAACTGAATAATTTTACTGAAAAATTAATCATATTTCACTATTTTAAACACTATTTTACGGTAAATTATTTGATTAATCTAAAGATATAAAACTTCATTTTTTTGTAAATTTCAAAAAGTTACGATTATTTTTTCAAAAGTTAACTAATAAAGAAAAAAATTACGATTATTTTTTAATAAGTTAACTAAATATACACAAATAATATTTATATGCTAACTTACCATTTCCTGTATTTTGAGGTATTTCTAAAAAAAACAAAACAAATTTAACAGTTTTTTGAGTCTTAATAATTAAAAGTTGTTAAACTGTTATCAAACCTCTAATTATTAAAGCATTTTTTTTTAAAAAAAAAACCTCTTCATATCAATTAATATATTTATTTGAAACAACGTTTTGACCCATAAATTTGTGCTGTGAGTGCTAATATAGACAGCTCTTATTGAATAAGTTTTCGAGTGTCACATACAAAATTGTTCAATTAAAATCTCGTGATTGACAATATAAGAGACCATATAAAAAAAATACTAAAAAAATACTAAAAAAGACAAACTTTGAATTGATTTTTCAAAGTGCATTTGAAAAACGTAAAAGCTTGTCATGATAATTATTTAAAAATAAACAACTTAAAAATGCAATCATACTCTTAAACTATATAAATAAAATTTTGGAGACGTAAACAAATATTTGAAAACAAATAAAATTTTGGAAACATACCTAAGTTAAATTAGGATCTTTGTTCTTTCGAGCAGAGAGACAAGCACACATTGATAGGGTTGACATTAAGAGGAGCACACATTGAGAGGGTTGTCAAAGAATAATACAGAAATGTCAACAGTAATTTAACATATCTTTTTTTGTTTTTTGCAATAAATAATATAGTTTTTTCGGAGTTAAAATTTATAATCCAATGTTATCCCCAAACTGCTACAGAAGTGAGATCAAATTCAAGACTGGTTGCTTGTTTTAAGTGATTAACAAAAGAATAATTTTTTTCAAGAGAAGTATAAAGTTGATTCATCAGCAAAAATAGCTACTTAATGTTTACGTTGTCAAAAAAGATAACTGATGAAGATAAGAAACAAAAAAGGACTAAGGATAAAACTCTCAGGTACCCCAGTAGTTATTGGAAATAAAGAATAGTGCTGGCCTTTAAGCATGACTTTAATAAAGCTTACGTAGAAGACCAACATGCAAAACGTTGTTGAAAGCCTTAGATACATCAAAACCAATAGTTTTTTGCCTCAATCTAATGAACAATAAAGTCTTCCGGTCACAGTAGCTAGCATATCAGCCGTAGATTAAGAGGATCGAAAACTGTGTTGATTGAAAGTAAGTTATGTGACTCAAGACGAGATGTGAGAAATTTGTTTATCATATTCTCAAAGACTTTGCTAATAACAGAAAGAAGACTGATTAAGCAATAATTTGAGGGGTCAGAATGCTCACCGAAGTTTTTGAATACTGGGATAAAGTTCTAGAAACCAGTTTTAGAGAACAATATGATATTCTAAAAATATTCCACAATACAAAAGTAAAGACCTTTACCAAGCAAGTACTAAACATTGTTTCAACTTGTACTAAACTCCACTTATTAAGTGGAGTTTAGTACAAGTATTCCACACTTTAGATGTACAACATGCTATTTTATTGAAACATTGTTTATGGCAAGCTGGTGGTGTGTTTTATATAGAAAAACTGCTGATATTACTTAGCAAAAATCCTTTCTACTTTTTTCAAATTTATTTTATGCTTATACTGTTGAATAGTGTTTACACATTTAGTAGTCCATCCATGAAAAAGACATAAATACAATTTTTTTGTATATAAACACATTTAAAATAGATTTTATGTTATTTTTACATGATGATCACAAACAGAATAAAACATAAAAACTTTTAGAACATTGAACTTGTTTATACTTGTTTTTAAAACAAGCATTCTACCGTGCACCATGGCATCATGCCTTTACTATATTATGACATATCCAAATTATCATACAATATCTAACTTACTAAATATGTTTTAGTTAGTATTATTACAGTTTTTTTTCTGAAAACATGTTTTAAAATAAGATATATTTTAATTTTTCAATACAGAAAACTGTGTGTAACTTTACAAAGCTCTTGCATTTTAAAACTTGACTGCTTTACTTTGGCAGGTTTTGTTAAAAGTTTAATAACTTTGAATGTTATTTCCATCATGTCTATATTTAAAAAAAATTTAAAATAAGATTCATGAAACTGAGTTAAATATATACCTATAATTGCTTTAATTAACTATTACGTTCTGTATGAGGATCTCAAAACACAATGATGAATGATATTTCAAATAATATTGTTATAGTTCTCAAAACATAGTAATTATTCTCAAAACATAGTAACATAGTATTTAAACGAACACTTCTTATACTCAAAAACTTTTATAAAGAAGTGCTCAAAATCTTTGAACTAGTAGAAATCTTTAAATAATTTTATCAGGTTCAAAACTGACTTGATTAAATACTTTTAAAAACATATTAAACAAGAACGGATGATCTCTAATTCACAATTATTTAAACTAACTTGTATACACAAGTAAAAGGTAAAAATAAAAAATTGAAAAAACCTAAAACTTTTATTATTTAAAAAATATTAAAATGACTAACAAACTTAGTTGCAAAACTGGCAAATGGTTAAAAATCTATAAACCAGATTAACAAAGTTCTAGAGAATCTTTTTACAAAATAACATTTCAATATAATTAATATACTTTAATTTAGTATATAATATACTTATAATACTTGTAATATAATACTATAATATACTTTATTATAATACAGTATAAAACAAAAACAGATCGACATATCAATAAAATTCTAAACAAAACAGTACATTATCGTAGCTAACAAAACATAAAAACAATATATCATTTATAAAAAAGCAATTTTACATTCTCAAATTTAATGTCAACAAAATAAGAAAATACATAATATAATAACTAGTAACAAAGCATTTTAAAAATAAGATTGATTATCAAACATTCATAAAATAGCTGTACAAGAAACTTTAAAATAATGTGAGAAAGTAAATAAAAGATAAAATTGTATTTAATATATTGGCTTGTATTTATTAATGTTGTTAAATTAATTGTATTAAATGTGTTGAACATATGCAATATTTTTATCTAAACAAAAGTAAGGTATTTTTTACTGTTAATACCTTTATCATAATATATTTAAAAACAAAATTCAATTCATATTATGAAAGTACTGTGTGTGATACGAAAATAGATGTAAAATATATTTTTAATATCCAAAAGCGCATAAGATTTAGCTACATTTGTTGAGAATATTCTCCAAAAATACCGTCAACTAGGGTGAATATGAACAGAGGGGGTGACTATAAAAATCAGTACAAAGTTAACTAAAAGAAGAAACAACACACACAATAGATCTAAGCTGTGTGTTATTTAGATCCATTTGCATTAAATATAATATTTAAAACCTAATTTTAGGCTGCGCAAAATAATATCTTCTTTTGAGTTTTTTTATCGCATATCAACAGCATGAGTTATATTTTTGGGGCAGTTAGTTGAATTATCAGGTTATATTTTAAGAAATGCGCATGAAAACACTATAAATGTTACTACACATCAAGTTCAGGTACATATTGTATTGCAAAAAAAACGTAAAGCTTGGATATCAGAAAATTTAATTGTTCAAACAACTACATATATTACAGTTTGGAGGGTTTCTCTTGATTTTTTTAACATTTGACTTTTTGTTAGATGTTATTGTGAAAAAAGGAAAATAACACGCTTTAAGTTTAAAAAAAAAATATGTCTGGTGTAGATTGGGTTCAGTTTTTCATAAAAAGACATTGTTTGACAAAAAGGGTTGCTGATAATGTCAAGCACAGTAGGGCTTTAGTCAATGAAGAAACCCTTAAACGTTATTTTAAGAACTTATACCAGGAGTTAAAGAATATACCTCCAGAAAACATCAATGACAAGACCAATAAAACTGAAAATTCTGTGTCCAAATCTAATATTACTTGTCGTGGACATGGACACCGTGTTGAAAACAAGCAGCAACATTCAAAGTAATCAACTAGTATACTGTTTGCTGGTAATGCTGTTGGGGAATTTTTGCCGGCTATGGTTGTTTATAAAGCAAAGAATCTCTTCCAGGGTTAGACTCAGGGATGACCACTTAGAACCGTATACAATATCACCACTAGTGGGTAGTTTGATGGTAGAACATTTACCATATTGTTCATGGAGATATTCCTGCCTACTGTTGTTTTAAAAACCGGAACAATATTGCTGATTGATAATAATTACATTTTTTTCCTGAAGTTATTGAAGCGACGATTTAACATAACATCAAATTTTTAACAATGCAACCACTAGATGTTTCTGTATCTAAAGGATTAAAGCAGTTGTGAATGATTGTAATTTCAAAGGGGAGAATAGAAAGTCGTATTAAAGTGGCTTTCAAAAGAACACATGTCTGCTCTTTTAAACATTTTAGAAAACACCTTGCATTCAGAAGCTTTAATTGCCTGATTTCAAGCAACAGAAATTTATCCTATGAACAAAATAGAAGTATTAAAACGTCTTCTTTAAACAATAAAAACCCTGGTGGTAAAGACACTGTAATGTTTCTAAACGAATCCGTTTTAGAGATTCTAAAGAACAATCTAGATTTAGGCACAGATCCAATTGCAAAACAAAAAACATGTGGTCCAAAAGTTGAAACAGGAAAAAGAGTTCTTTGTTTAGATGAGTCAATGCCATCAAGTTCAACAGGGCGAAACGACAAAGATATTGATTGGAACCGTGCTTTCTGTAACAAAAAATGGGTAGAGTTAAGCAACGATTTATGGATTCAACGCAAACAGTGTAGCAAACCTTATCATTTTCAGTACTGTGGCCTTTTCTATGAAAAAGATCAATATTATGAGTTTGATATTGAAAAAGTTAACTTCATATGCATCATTTGTAAGCCATTTAGGGACATTGGGGATAGCAATGGTTGATGGTCTTTTTTGTAAGGCTGCTTTGTAAGCGTTCTGTATATAATAATGTGTTGAAAAAATTAGGTTTTAAACTTAGTATGTAATTTTTTTACATGAATTGATTTGAAATTAAAATGCACTTTCTGTTATCTGTTTGAGTTTTGACAGTATTCCTCCCCCCCCCCCCCACCCCCACCTTTGCAATATGTTAGCATATCCATAATCTAAGAAGTAAAAACATTATGTCGAGTTCAAAGTCACACCATATCGGCTGTTCATTCTCAACCCGTTTTAAAAATACAAATATACTTGTATAAAAAAAAAAAATTGAAATAGTTACTTTATAATGTTTATCCGGCCTAGAACCATTTCTGGAAGCTAGATAGTATAATGTTCTGTAAAAAAAAAGTAGCAATTAGACTAACTGTTTTTCTATATAATGCAAAAATGTCTAAAAAGTGTTCATAGTCACCCTCGTTGACGGTAGTTTTTGGAAATTAATAAAATGACAAATGTAATAAAAATATAGTGCATATCAACTCACCAATACAGCTAGCATTGTCATTACCCAATAACCACCCATTTTCACATGAGCACAAATAATTTCCAAGTGTATTTTCGCATAAGCTGTTATTCCAAAAACAGGGATTAGAGGTTATGCATTCATTGTTATCTTTAAAATAAAATTTTTATTTTTTTATATATGCTAATAATTTTACTATAATTATTTATTTTTTTCTTAATATTAGATTAACAAAATAACATGTTTTAATTAAATAAATATGAAAGTGTTGTAATTTTTTGAACTATGTGTTACAAACTAAATCATCGACGTCACTTTTGACGAGTTTTATCAAATATAAAGTCATTATGGATGCTAAATATTTAAAAAAGTACTATGTGACAAACCAATCGAAGAAGAATATATATACTGTAAAAAATGCTATTAGTTTATCTAAAAAAGCTAAAATTGACTAAGATTGCAAACTTCAAGTTTTATTCGTTTTATCCATAGTAATAGCTTTCACAAAAATCCTAGATACGACATCATATGATGACGCAATCAAAATACTCGATAACAAATATTTAAAATGATCAATAGCTATTATGATGCGCCACAAACTTTTTTTAAGCAAAAAGAAGGAGAAACAATTTAAAGTTTTATGAGCAGCCTGAAACCATTTGAAAAAAAATGTCTAATAGAACCACTAAAAGCAGAGTAACTTTTTTTTTTTTATTTATTTATTTTGCCGTTGATAAATATTAAAAAAAAGAAATTACAATGAAAGAAAATCCTGGCCGGAGCAAGAAGAAGACAGGTTGTCTTCTTCTTGCTCCGAGCCCCACCGGCTCACCGAGCCCCGTTACATAAAAATTTACATGCACAATAAATGATAAAAGACAAAAAGACAGTATAAATACAAAAACAAAAATAAATCAAAAACTTCAGCAATAAAATAATTTTAAAACATTTTAATAAAAGCCAAAGAAAGTGATAAAGATTTAATTTTTTTTCAAGCGATTTAGTGTAAACCTTTAAATTGTTTTCAAAAAAAGTATTTATATTTAATATATCGAATTTCATGTTCAGTAAACGCCGTTTTAAATCATCCTTAAAACTTTGCAAAGTGCAGTTTAAAACGAAGTTTTGTTTTTTACTAAAGATTAAAAGAAACTTTTTCCAAAGTAAAGGTATTGAATTTGGTACGAACTTAATTTAAGAAGGTTTATGGTAACCACAAAGTTATTCACTGAAAATTTGGTTGGATATTTATGGGAGATTTCATAAAAGTAGGATTGAAATGTTACTGGAGAAAACCCAAGTTTTGCTTTAAACATAAATAACATTACTTGATGTATATTAAGTTTATAAATATATAAAGCTCCAAGCTGACGTAAGAGAGGTTCACATTGTGTTTTTCTATTTGCCCTAGATACTATCCTGCAAGCATGTTTTTGTTTACTATAAATTTTTTTGAGTTCAGTGTGATTAGTGCTACCCCAGGAAATGTTACAGTATGAAAGATAGCTGTGTATAAACGAAAAATATAAATTTTTTAAAGACTCGTTATTAAGAAAAGATTTTGTTCGGTATAACATGGCAATATTTTTTGAGATCTTACCTTCAATATATTTAATATGAAATTTTCATGACAATTTTTCATCTAAGAGCACTCCCACAAAGTTTGTAGTCAATTCCCTTTTAACTATTTTATTATTGATTAAAAGATTAGGTAGTTTTACCAGGAATATTCTCGGCTTTACTAGGTTTATGGAATAGGATAAATTTTGTTTTATCTATATTTATTGATAGACGTTTACTTATAAACCACTCGTTGATCTTATCTAATTCTTCGTTAAATTTTTAAAAAGAACAGTAATATCTTTGTGAGAATAAAACAAATTAGTGTCATCTGCAAATAAAATAGTATTTAGTACTTTTGATGATAAATATAAGTCATTTATATAAAGTAAAAACAATAATGGTACCAAAATAGAACCTTGGGGTATAATTATAATAAGTATAAATTGCTTTCTGTTAGTTAAGTATGATTTAAACCAAAGTAAACTTCGATTTTTAACACCATAGTTTTCTAAATTTTTTAAAAGAGTTTCATGATTTACTGTGTCGAAAACTTTGTATAAATCACTAAAAACCCCTATTGTAAAGCAATCACTATTAAATCCATTTGATATATGCTTAACCAGTTCAATTATTGCATGGTCAGTAGAATAATTTTTTTAAAACCGTATTGATTATTATATAAAATCTTATTTTCAGATAGATATTTATAAAGTCTGTTGTATATAATGCGTTCAATTAGTTTAGAAAAGCAGGGTAAGACTGAGATTGGTCTGTAGTTTGAAATATTGGTCTCATCGCCAGATTTAAAAATAGGTGTTATTTTTGCAATTTTTAGTTTATCTGGAATAAGACCTGATTTAAGGGAAAGATTAAAAATATGGAATAATGAGGGTTTGATAATATCAAAAACAGATTTGATTACATTAACATTTATTTGATCAATACCTGCACTTTTTTTAGACTATTAAAAGCATTATGTAGTTCACTTTTGGTTAAAATCGGTTCTTCCATAATTAAATCGGTTACTGCAAGATATGAATCAAATTTTTTTGACTGACTGGAATTTTCGCTGCTAGGTTTGGGCCAACATCAATAAAAAATTTGTTTAATTTCTCAATATTAACTTCTTTATGGTAAATCATTTTTCCCTCAATAATAAGTTTTTGCGGTAAAATATTTTTTTCTATTTTGTTTTTCCCAATTAAGTCTCTAATAACACTCTACGTTTTTTGAGGGTTTCCTTTGTTTTTTTCAAGCAGCTTAGCATAATAAATTACGTTTGATCGTTTTTTAGTTTTTTCAAATAAACTTTTGTAATATTTGTAATTAGTTTCATTTTTATAAGTTTTATTTTTTAAATATTTATTATACAATTTTTGTTTTTTCCTTGATGATTTTAGTAGGCCTTTGGTCATCCATGGGGATACAACCGACTTTGAGTTTATTACTTTCACTTTTAAAGGAAATGCCTTATCATACATTTTAGAAAATTGGTTTAGAATTAAATTATAAGCATTATTTACATCGTGTAATTGCAGTATAAGATTCCAATCGACGTAATTATTTAATAAATTCTTAAATTGGCATTTGGAACTTTCATTGATTTGTCGTATGAATACTGTTGATTTGTGGGTAATATTGTTTAGAGTGACGCTCTCAGTAATAAGGAATATAGGTAAATGATCAGTTAAATCAGTCTTTATTATACTAGTTTTAAAACGGAAAATTATGAAAATTGTTAGTTATAACATTATCTAATGATGTCGATGATTTTTTAGTTACTCTTGTTGCTTTGTTTATAGTTTATAGTTTTGTTCAAGAAGAATATCAATAAAAGTTTTTGCTTTACTATTTAAGGCATGGTTGAGTAAGTCAATGTTGATATCCCCAACTACGTAAACATGCTTTTGCAATATATTTTTTGTGTTTCAGAATGTGCGCAGATAAGTTTTGAATGTTTTTAAACTACCAGCTGGCGTTCTATAAATAGCATTGATTATGAAATTTTTAGCTAATTTATTTATTATCTCAACGCATAATGCCTCACAATCTGTATTGTTTACATTAAGATCTTTACGTTGAACAAAATCAATAGAATTGTGAACGTATATGCTTATATCACCACCAACGGAAATATCGCGCATTTGATGAACTGATGTATAGTTTCTTAACTCAAACATTTCATTGCTTTTAAGCCAAGTTTCTGAGAAACAAATTATTTTAAAATCATGATTAAGTTCTCCAAATAAACACTTAAAGTTTTCGAAGTTTTTATTCATACTTCGAATATTAATATGCAATATTGAAAATTTATTCTTATTCTCACAGAGATATTGAGTAGATTCAGGTATTGAATAGTACTCACTTTCTAATACGGCTTCAGTATGATTATCAGAGTTATTATCGCTAAAAACAATATTTTTAGCATTAATATTAGAAGAGAGATTATTCTCCATTTCTAAAAATTAAATTAAAATTTGAAAAACTATTGATAAATAAAAAATAAAAATAAAGTGTCATTAAAATAAATATAAAATAATTCCGTTGTTTTTCGAGACCATTCGCAAACCACAAACTTGTCGTTTGAAATATACGCAAACATTCCAGCTTTTCATGCTTTTTTTATGCCCGCCCGTAGTTCTTTTCTAATTAGCATGGTCTCCACGCAATAATCCTCATTAATATAAATATTTCCCCCTTTCAATTTCCGAGAGTTTTTTAAAATGTTTTCCTTGTCTTTAAAATTGAGTAATTTCAAAAATATGGGTCTAGATTAAACCTTTAACCGGTCGTCTTATTCAGCCAACGAGACTTTGGGAACGCTTATCTATAGACTTTGTCAGACTTTTACAATTTAATACAGCTAATAAATACATCCTTGTCATAATAGACGAAAACTCGTGCTACTTTTTACCATTTACCATTTACCATTTACTTTTCCTTGTAAGGATATATATAATCAAAAAAGAATGAGAAGGTGTTGCGTAACAGCCGACACTGTGATACAACACTTCTCAGTCTTTTTTCATTGTTTGGTGCACTATCATCGTTGCATACAGATCAGAGAACACTGTTTAAATGTATAAAACTTAAAGTATTCCTAGAAAAAAACGGTGTCATAAGAACTCAAAACACTTCATATCATCCACAAATCAAAGGTCAATGTGAACAAATGAACTATACTTAAATAATAATACTTAAAACAAATAAACAATACTTAAAGCTGTTTTGGCCATGAAAACATTGAGTCTCGGAAAAGATAAATTGGAGGTTGCATTGGAAATGGCTCTATCCTCTGTAAGAGGATTTCTGTGAACTAACAAAACACCCTACCAGAGGATGCTGAGCTTTCAGCGATAGTAAATAATAATCATCAATTATTTTTGTATCTATTCCTCGTTTACTTAAATTTTTTTAAGTAAAATAATTCATTCTGAAAATTTGCTTTAAGAGAAAACTAAATAACATGCACACCTTCTCTGCATAGGTATAGCTTATAAGAAGTTTTTAATTAGGTTTTTTTTTCAACTAAACACATATCATTGATAGCTCAGTGGTTTAGGGTACTGTCATTGTTGTCTTTGATC